AAAAAAAAAAAAAAAAAAAAAGAATATTGATCCCTGAATCCCTCACGACCTCTAGATACAGTACAACTTGCATATTCTCTGGTAATACATGCTAGACATTACAGGTCAGTGGAGTCACAAGACAGAAAACATGAAACCCATCCATGCACAAGTGCAGAAAAGCACACAGATACACGCATACCTCATCATCCTCTTCCTCATCACTCTACAGAGACGAAATTAAAGAAGTCACACGGTGGAGAAGATGAGCAGGAAATGTTGGATTGAAAAAAATTTTTGGCATTTGGTTTCGCACTTCAAGATTTCGAAACAAATTCCAAAATGTACTATCCTGCACTTTAGTGCACTAACTCTTTAGTTTTTTTTTTTTTTTTTTTTAAATCTGCCAAAATTCTGTCCAGGTCATATATTACCCCAAATTTAAATAATTAAATAAATTATGATATATAATAATGAATATATAAAAAAAAAAGCTATCAAGCATTTTTTTGTCTCCACAATAAAACAACTAATTTTGTTATATACATATATGTATATATGCACACACTAAATGGTAAATTATGTATACATCATGGCAATATTTATGCAGTTTTTTATTATTATTATTATTACTATGCAAAGATTTTGGGATAAAATGTGACCAGATGTTTTTGCTGATTTAAACGATTTTTTAAAATGATATACAAAATTATCATAAAAACAATAATTTAACAAGAGTCAGCTTTAAAAAATGGAAATGACAAAAATGCATTACAATAATTAGAAGTTGGGGTGGGGGGGTATTTGCTTAACTGCCAATAAACAATGTCACAATGCAAAAAAATTAGTTTACTTTATGCTAAATATTACTACTTTCCCCCTCTTTTTTTAGTTTGTGTTTTAAAATGACCTGTGCACATTGTAGTGAGATTCACCGTATTACTGCATGTGGTTTAAAAAAAAAAAAAAACCTTTAACATGAGCACACAGTTACAAGGTGTTCTCAGAACGAGGTTTCAGAAATGTAAACACACATCTCGTTTCTACATAATCCACTTGGACTTATTGTTTTCCAGTAACATGTGTAACTGAACTTCCTCCTTAACTCAGCTCTACCTCTACAGAGCCAGAACTTGCATTCAGCACTCCTACAGGGACATCCAAAGGTTTGGATTTTCACACATAGATTGAATTAGACACCCCTCTTAGACTGAGGAAGACCCCCGCCAAGCATAACATGCCATGAAGGGCTATCCTGGCTATGACATCCCCCATGAGAGGCATTAAATTGGTCTCCTGGAGTAACAAATACCCAGGGCAAGTCCAGAGCTGCAAAACCCATGACAATAGACTGCTTGGTTTACAATGTTTTATTATTGTAATGCAAGTGCTGAGCGTGTTTTGTGGCTATTCTGAGCAACCTGGGGCAGACTAAGAGAAATGGAACATACACATGATAAGAATCAGACCTCACTGGTCTCAAGTGTGAATGAGACACTGGAAACTGAAAGAATAATGACTCCCTCTTGTGGTGCAAAGATAAAGCACAGAAATTAAGCAGCTTGTTCACTCCTTTTTGCAAAAGGAGAGGGAAAGGAGAGGGAAAACAAGCCGAGGGCTTTTTCTGTACATTAGTTATGGGACAAAAGTGTTAAGAAAATAGAAGAGTTTTCAAATCAGATATTTGAGTTAAAATTTTAAGACCCCAAAGAACAAGATATTAGTTAAAATGAGAATAAAGGCATGGTTATTCTATTCTATCTATATTCAATGTTTTTTTTCTTTTAATCTTTTTTTTTTTTTTATAATAATCCACTGTGTCATCTGTTGTATCAATGGTGTTATTAGCAGAAATATTTATTCTGGAGAAGATACAATGGAACTTAATGGTGCTGATATAATATGTCCTGAAAAAGTTGAAAAAGGATTGTTCTAGAAATTAATCGATAATGTTCAATTTGTTCAGATTATATCAGGTATTATAAAAATTACATTTTTAAAGCTTTTATTAATGTTAATTAATAAATAAACTGTTCAATGTTCATTCACATTTGTTCATAATACATTAACCTAAAGTTAAACATGTATTTTATAAATTAACGGCATCTAGATTTATAATAAATGCTGCTCAGTGGTTTACGGTAACAAAAGAAATTCATAAAACCTGATTGGAAATGTTAACAATTTAAAACTTGCTGTAGTGTTACCACTTTCCCCTTAATATTAAAGGTTAATCTAAAAATAAAAATGTTGTCATCATTTACTCACCCTCGTATCATTTAGAAGATATTTTAAAAATGTTGTATGGTTACCCACATTCTTCCAAATATTTTTGCGTTCAACAGAAGAAAGAAATTCAAACAGTTTTAAATGACATGAGGGTAAATAAATTACATAATTTTCTGTCTTAATGACTTTCTTCTGTTGAGCACAAAGATATTTTGAAGAATGTGGGAAACCAAACAGTATACATAAGCCATTAGAACAAATAATACAAAATAATACTATGGAAGTCAATGGCTACCGTCTGTTTGGCTTTCTTCAGAATATCTTCTTTTGTGTTTAAAAGAAGAAAGAAATTCATACAGGTTTGGAACGACATGAGGGTGAGTAAATGATGACAGAATTATATATTTTTGGGGGGGGGCTATCTCTATAAACTGATCCTTGTATGGTAATCTTGTGCCGCAAATGTTCACACTCACCTCTGTGATCATTTTGCCCCGGGTCTTGTTCCTCTCGCGGTGATTGGCTCGTTTCTGTTTCTGCTGCAGCACTCGCTCTCGGGTGGTGCGGTACTCAAGTGCAAATTCACTCAGAATCTTACTGAAGCGGTGGATGCTCACCTCTCGTATCGCATATGGTGGGTGGCCCAGGAACAGCAGGAATGAGTGAAACCTGTAGATCAAACACAAAGACTTTCAATTTACCTGACCTTCAGACATCTCTACAACACCACAGTACAGAGAGACAGCAAAAAGACACTAAAGTTTTGGCATATAGATCATCAGAACAACAAAAAACACAAAACCCAATCCACGTTTTTGCAAACCACATCCAAACCACATTCATAGGTGGTTTGAAATCTAATAAAAAGCAGATAAAAAAAAAAAAATCTCAGTCTGAGATCAGATTTCAAGTATCCTTTTTCGTTCTCATAGATTGTGCTTGAAAAACAAATCGGATTTGTGCAAATAGCTTTAAAGGTCTCACCTATTTATGATGCGGCGATGCACAATTTTAAGGATGATAATTCTCTCTGCACAGTCTTTAAGGAAGTCTGACATGCGCTGCTTAAGGGCTGGTTTCATTTCGTGTTTAGCGATGACCTTCAGGTGGTCCCAGGATGCTTTGCAGCGGCGCTCCATCTGACATAGGTTTTCCTGCAGCTGGTCGAATTCAACCTGAAGAAGACAGGACAACAGGTGATCAACAAAGGCATCTCATGATTGGTCCGTTCACTTCAAAAGCAATGCTTCACTTTTAGCAACAACACATGGAATTGTGAAGTCTTGATTTCTTCTTTTGTACATGGCACACTGCCATTGTTTGTACACTGGGGTCCAAACGTCTGAGATGATATTGCAAATATGGGATTTTAAATCTAATTTAAATCTGGAAATAAACTGAAAGTTTTGAAATATTTAAAACAAAGAAATGTTACAAAGACAAAATAAGATTCTGCACTATTTCTAGGTCACTGATCAAATTAAGCACATATTGTCCTGAACATATGACTACAAAAGGTCAGGTGTTCTTCCAATGAAGCACAAGATGCTATAACTGTATATATATATATATATATATATATATATATATTCTATATCATATTAAATATAATGAAAGGCCCAAAACTACATTTCAAAAAAAACCTGAAAGTCCACTAAAATCAAAGGTGATGGTGCTGTGGTACTTAAGCTAACCTTAGCAGAGCGAGTGATGGCTCCAATCTCAGAGTAGAGGTCTGAACTCTCTGGAAACTTCTCCACGACGATGGAGCAGACGTGATGCAGTAGAGACTGTTTGTGAACGGTGTCCTTCACCTCAGGAACTTTCTCTAGGTAACTCAGCTCAAAGCCTTTAGCCTGAAAACAATCACATAAATAAAAAGACCATAAATAAACCCACACACTATCATTGCTAATGATGACATATTGCTTGTTTGTTTTAGGAAGCCATATATGTATGTATACATTTTTAAGCAATTACATTTTTTATTCTAATTAATTACTTGATGTGCCGATTAATTAATCGAATTAACTGCACATCAATTTTGGCTTAGAAATTACCCTTTAAAAGATAATTTGTAATTTAGATCATTTAAAAATCATTAAACCATGGATTCATTCAGTAATAAAACACTGCTTTTTAACAAAACAATTTTGTTGATCAAAACAGACAGTATTTAACACAACATTAACTTTTTGTGTATTGAACTTGTTTGAATTGTAAAACCCATAGTCATTTTTTCTTTCTTTCATGTTTGAATTTATATAACTGCATTATAATAGGCTACACGTGTTAAATTTGTTCATTTTAAAACCAATTCACACCAAATTAGCACATTAATCATGTTATAATAAATAAATAATACATTTATTTTAGAATGTTGTGATTTTTCTTGTAATAAAAGTATTTTGCCTTTTATAATGCCCTTTTTATTCATTTATTTTGCCTGTAATAATTAAAAAAATGTATAATAATTATATATATAGGCAAAATATTTACTTGCTGTGTACATTATGTGACTTTTGGAATTTTCCTGCCAAAACTGTCTGTTTATACATTTCAGAGTGATAGCTATGTTACGATACATTTCATATTTACTGAAAAATAGGTATCACTTAATTGCTTTAAATATGTGCAGTAAATTTGCCACAGTTGGTCTCTGAGGATAAAAAGGGGGAAAAAAACAAAGTGTAATGTGTGCTGGAATAGCAGGGAAATTTTATATCAGATAAATTTGAATGTGTAAATATGCACAGCTGAAATGAGCTCTGATGTGGAAAATCACATGCACCTTGAGAGCATTAGTCACTCTGGATCTGGTCCATCATCAAATCATTTCCTAAAAAAAGGCCTCATTTTGACATTATTCTGATGTAGTTTTGTTGATTAGCATCAGTTGCATTAAGATAAAAGCACTTTGAACGTGCGCACAGTCTATGTGCAGCTCCCATAGTGATTCTGACCAATGCTTCATTAACATATGATTAACAGAATCTCAATCCTGTCTGCAAGTCTTCGAGGCACGACAGAGCTGGGAATGGAGAAATCCCCACGGACGTGACATGACTCTCGCTGGCTTTGTTCTGCAGCCCACTCTCAATGGTTTACGGTAACAAAAGAAATTTCATGCCAAACTCACCACCTTATCAGGTTTATCTCCATCAGCCTTTTTAACGTTATTAAGATCTAAGCGAATACAGCAGACAAACAGAAAGAAAGACAGATGGACATGGAGAGATTAGGGGTTGAAAGAAGAGCTGTAGTATTCGCTGGCACTTACATTGGTCCCATTGAGAAAGTTGCCAATAGCTAGCAGAGTTGAAAGGATGCAGCGCAGCGTCTTATTCTTTTCTAATTGGTCCATGCCCTCCTTCAGGTCCTGTAGTGGCTCTGCTACTTCCTGAGAAAGAGAAAAAGAATGGGTTTGAAATAAATAGCCTCTGGGAAAGAATTTTGTAGACTTGCGGCTTTGCTTCAAGATCTGCTGTTGCAACACAATACAAAAATAAAAAACCCCAAAAGCCCTAACATTGTTCTTACAACAACAAAACATTGGAATTTGTTATATATTAATGCTAATACATTTATATACTGTAATGAAGTAAATTAATAAATACAGAATTATTTCGAAATTAATACTTTTTAATGTGTTTATTCTGCAAGGACACATTAAATTGATCAAAAGTGACAGCAAAGACATTTATAATATCACAAAAGTTTTTAAATACTGTAAATGCTGTTGATATTCATCAAAAAAATCCTGAAAAAAGTATGATGGTCTCCAGGAAATGAAGCAGCACAACTGTTTTTAACTTTGAAAATAATAAGAAATGTTTCTTGACCACCAAATCGGCATATTAGAATAACTTCTGAAGGATCATGTGACACTGAACACTGGAGTAATGGCGGCTGAAAATTCAGCTTTGACAGAAGCAGAAATAAATTACATTTTAGAATTTATTGAAGTCATTCAAATTTAAAATGTAATAATATTTCACATTATTAGTTTTTACTGTATTTTTGATCAAATAAATGCAGCCTTGCTCAGTATGAGACACTTCTTCAAAAAAAAAAAACAACAACTTGCCAACCCCAAACCTTTATGTGTATTAATGCAGTTTTTTTATATTAAGGTAAATAAACTGACTAAATTTGTTTTTATAGTTTAATTTGTAAATTTACTTTTACATTTCTATGATTTCAAGTTCTCTGCCAATCATTGATTATATAAAACTCATGTAATCACATTTTAAAACCATATTTAATGCAGTCATGATTGTATTTTCCTTTGAGTAGTTTGTTTCATGGTTTTTGAAGATGAGGATATGTCAAGCAAACTGTATACAGTATGTCTCATCCAAATTATACATGATCATATTAGTTAATTGCACTTTATTAATTACATTTAGCATTGATTTCTTTCTGCTATCTATCAGACCAGACTTGCCACCCCAATTTTGGGCCACAACCCACTAGTGCTGACAATATAGTAAAGGAGAGGTCAAAAACAATTGACTCCAAACCACCATGATGTAATTTAATTTGTTTAAAGGTGCTGTATGTAAGTTTTTGACTCTACTAAAGCATAAAAATAGCATAATATGTTTGCAGATATTTAAGAAACATGCTAAGTTAACATATTTGTTTATCTGAAAAACAATGCTACAGTCAGTTATTCTCCTTTGAAAATGTGCGTTCCGAGCCGGAATGTCGGTCTCTGTTTTGGTTTGTGAAACCCGCCCACTGCCAGTTTACCCAATTGTATTTCGGCACCCCAGGTTGCCAGTTGGCGGGAAACACAGCTTATTTCATTTCAGTCATGGAGGCTGGCAAACGAAAGTGTTGGTGTCGTCAATCTGGCAACCTGCGTGTGCGTCAAGTCTGAGGAGGAGGGACCGGGTGAAAAAAACCCTCTCCAATATTTTTAATTTGGACTGCAATACCTAGTTCAACCACTCGGTGTCAATCCTACATACAGCACCTTTAAGTGGGGTAACAGAACAGGAGGCCGACCTTCTCTAAAGTGTCATAGTCCATCTTAAAGGCCCAAAGCTGCAAGCGGGCGGACAGCTCACTGATGGAGGACAGAATGAGGAGGAACTGCTCTGCGCTGCCCAGCGGAGTGTCAGGGTTCGCCAGCTGGGCCTCCTGAATCTTCCGCGTCTCCTCCTCCGTAGGAATCATTGTCAGGATTTTCTACAAAAGAGCACGAGACCCAGCAGGGAGTGTTAGTATCACTGTCAGAAACCATTGTATATGGGGATTCACACCTAGAAAGGCATTCGCTCCATCAATCATGTGAGCGCTGATGAATAACAACACCTGGAAAGACACTGCATTACTCAAAAATGTGGGAAATGATGACTATTTCATTGCTATTTCATCTGCTACGGGCATATCCCGCCGTTGCACAACTGAATAATTGAATAGAAAAGTTAATTTCTCCTGACCAGAACAAAATTTCTGATAAAATCTTGAGAAACATAAATTGCGGTTGTCTGTGAGAATATAACGCTCTCTGTAGAGACATAAAGGGTGGAGAGAAACACTCTAATCCATTTTTCCCATGACGAAAGATAAAAAATTACAGATTTTATGAGAAAATGGGAGCTCCATTATTCACATGTTGATATTGAGACATTTACCTCAGATCTGTATCATGGACTGTAACAGCCTAAATTAAGCATTTTTCTAACCTTTAATCTTTGAGATGAATTACATGGCTGCTGCCAAAAATGCTTCAGTTTTTGCAGGAAATCCACATAATATTTAAAACCAACCAAAACAAAAAATAAAAGCCAAACCAACTTGCTAAACATTAGTTTTAAGGGTAAAATCTATTGGTTTTGCGGAAATCCAAAGTAAATGTGTATGCTCTCAGGGCAAAGAGGTTGAGTTATTTTGGACACGAGCTTTGACTCAATGCTTTTGGTTTGCCAACTCGAGTCTGTATGTCTCTGTCTTGTTGAACACAGTTGTAGAAAACCATGTATTTTGGTAAAAATATGCTTTCATGTAGCAGTCTGGGGATGATCATAAATGCCTGAATGATTGATGTAACGAGAGAAAGAAAGAGAAAGAGAAAGAAAGAGAGCGAAAGTGAACCGAAGAGGGGTTCAAGGAATATGTGACTCACGTGGACTTAAAACAAGGTTGGTATTAAGTACAGATGTGTTTTCTGCATGGTAACCTGTCTGGCATTCTCTGGATTAAAGTGTAACCATGCATTGTACTAGCTTTATAATTGAAACGTATGTATTGAGTTTTATTGTAGCTTTTCTTAATAATTTCATCATGTCGAATTTGCTTCATTACTTGCGGTTGATTTGGCATAATTTGCGAAAGGGAATGTGATTTTAAACCGGTGCAGTATTACCTCTATGCCCTCTTTGCTCAAGGCGTACTCGTCAAAGTTGAGGATGGCTGTTTTGATGGTGCGAGGAGGCGGCAGGACCGTCAGGCCAATGTTGATGGCATTACTTCTTTTGGAATCCAGAATGATGATCTCCTGACGCTTCCCATCTGCTGCTGTTTTCTGAAATCAGACATATAAACAGATCATCAGAGTTATTCATAGTGACTATACTTTGAGTGGTCAAGACATCAAGGTTTTCTGGTTGGCTTCACTAGACAAAATAGAACTGTATTCAGACAAAACAAAACAAAACAAATGCCCGTAGTCTATGACTTTGCCCAGTGAATTTGTATTCTAACAATGTCAAACGGTTCACACACATGCATCACAGGAAAATCTTAAGATTTTTGTGATTTTTAATACCAGATCTCAATTCATATGTTTTGAAGGATAATATTTTGTGGTAAAAATGTGCCATTTAAAATTTTAAGAGTCCTAATATCATGTCTAACATTTTACACATCAGCTAAGTAATATTATCTCACTTTATGACACAATTAAATAATACCATTACACATGTTGCCTAAGCTGAAAAACTGTTTAGATAAAACAGTTACTTATGGTTCTACTTATGTTTCACAGAATGTAATTTTAAGACTTTTTAGGCAAGAATGTAGTTGTGTAAACTTCAAATATGCAGTTTATTAATAAAGATAGCTCCTACTGAAAATGAGCTTTGACGTTTTCGAAAAGGATGCATTAATCTGATCATAGAATCCTGAAACAAACATATCACAGTTTCCACAAAAATATTAAGCAGTACAAATGTTTTCAACATTAATAATAATAAAATAAAAGTTTCTAGTTCCCACAACAAGCCTGCTTCGCCCATCACGATACACATCTATTCTCCCATACCTAAAATGAAATACGGATCCTTCAGTCTGTTCTAACTCTCACGCTGGCCACTGAGCTGAATAGGAAAGGCATTTCTTTAATGTGGATAATTACCTCAAAAATGGCTTCCTGAGATATGAACAGAAAACCGGGATATATTTAATGTTTACTCGCCAAAAAGGCACGCAAGCACCTGAGGGCTATTTTGGGACTTTGATGGAGAATATTTCTTGAGGAGCAGAGCCATGATGGTACTCCGTCTGCTGCCAAAGAGGGGGAGAGGAGGGGCTCAGAGGAAAAAGGGAGGGAGAATGGGTTGAAAATGAAAAACAGCTGGAAAAGATTGCTCAGAGCAGAGAGAGGAAACCCCATGCAGGCCACATTTCTGAGACACCATCTTAGAGCAAACAAGCCAAATAATATAATAGATCTTCATCTAAGAACATCAATTCATCTCCAACACTTAAAACCTGTGATGGTGAACATCAGTGTTCATTCTATCAGGTCAGGGATTTATCTCTGTACATGAAAAATAATGTACATGAAAGAATAAAATTAACTTTGTTATACAACCTTGAATGACGGTGCAGTTCATGTTCCAGTGTATAGCACACACACAAATTTCGAGATCCTCGTAACAGGCTGTATTGATTAGGTTAAGAATGTTTCAGCCAAGCTATGACTTGTGACTTGACTTTGTTTTGAGTGGCAGCAGGATTTATGGATCCCAGAAAGCACCTTTGATGAAGCTTTTAGGTAATACAAGGAATCCATCATAGCCAATCAACCAACCTATTACCATTCTGACCTACATTCTGCAGCTCTTTTTTAAACACGTGCGATCATGTCATAAGAAAGAGCTGTGGAAAACGGAAGGTGTCAGAATTCATACCATGTGTTACAGAAGAAAGGCCCAGAAAAGATCAAAGTAACTTCCTAGCAGCTATAGCTTGTGTTCACATGTGCTGATAAAAGCCAGGTAAAACCAAAGTAGAGCAATATATATATAGTTTGACCACAGATGATCTGAGTAATTTGTTTTTGGTCAAAAAATGGTGACTTATAAAATAAATATTTGTTATTTAGAGTTAATAGCTTCATGTAGTGTTTTTGATCATATTTTTTGTAAAGTCACCATTAGATTAGTGATTAGTGTTCTGTAGAGTTTCTTCCATTTTAGTAAATATATACAACTTATTTTGGTACACAAAAGTAACTTTATATAACTTTTCCAGTTTTTTCAACAAACTGACACACACATTAGATAAACTAAGAAAGTTCTACATCACTTTAATGTATTATTAATGCTTAGGTTAACTGAAAATGTTAAAAGAGTTCATAAAACTTACATTATTATGTTTGATGTAAGCAAGCTGATACAACAGTTTTTCCATAAGTTGATTATACTGATAACACCTAAACCCGGTTGCCTTTATTTATTTGTTTGTTTGTTGATTGATTAATTGATTGATCGATTCATTCATTCATTTACATTTATATTTAGTCATTTAGCAGACGCTTTTATCCAAAGCGACTTACTCCACCAGGAGGGAACATTTAATTTAAAAGTCAGAGAAAGTGATTTTGTGCCTCTTTGGGATGGCACAATAAAGTGCCGTTCACTTGCAGAACACAAGCTTCTAGAGGGCACACAAGTCTGAAGTAATGAATTTAGGTAAAAGGGTGTAGAGCCAGTGGTGGTTTTATAGGCAAACTTCAATGCCTTGAATTTTATGCGAGCAGCTATTGGTTAGGGCTTCAACAACTGAGAGCAAGGCAGTTTCGGTTGAATGTCCACTTCTGAAACCAGACTGGTTGCTGTCAAGGAGGTTGTTCTGTGTGAGAAAGGCAGAGACTTGGTTGAACACAGCTCGTTCAAGTGTTTTTGCAATGAAAGGAAGAAGGGAAACCGGTCTGTAGTTCTCTAAAAGAGATGAGTTAAGGGTGGGTTTCTTAAGTAGTGGGGTTAAACGAGCCTGTCTAAATGTTGAGGGAAAAAACACCAGTGTAAAGGGATATGTTAATGATGTGAGTGAGTGCAGGTACAACGGCAGGAGAAATGGCTTGAATGAGGTGAGATGGAATAGGATCAAGCGAACGAGTAGTAGGATGATTAGAAAGGATGAGTTTGGAGACTTCTGCCCCGGAGAGTGAAGAGAAGAATGTGAACGAGTGTATGTTTGCTGGTAAGATGTGCTTGACAGATTGTGGTATGGAAAATTGTGCACTGATGTTTTTAATTTTATTAATGAAAAATATCATTCATTCATTCATTCATTTTTACAGTGAGGGCATTGTTTTTCATTTGTTGAGGTGTTTTGATCTCTACATTGTTTAAAAACAATTACAAAAAACCTCCATAAATAATGCTTTAATATAATAAAGTTAAAGGCAACTAAACTATATCAATGAGCAAAGAACAGTTTCCGTCCCATGTGTTCAAGAGAACAAAATCGTCACTTCAAAGCAGGGTCAAATTATCAATAATAAAATTGGGAATTGCTGCAACTGGGGAAGCCACTGTAGCTCTGCTTTCCTACATAATAAATTACTTGCACATCAGATTGTGCAGACGAAATGCAATAAAAAACGCTGTTATGTTATCTTGCATTTGGAGGTGGATATATGATGTTTGAGAATGCAATTGTGTGGGACAGTTTTGGGAGATATTTAAACCAAACCATTTTGATGACAGACTTTGGCTCAGGCATTTCAGAATGAATAAAACAACATTTGAGAAGGTGTGCAATGGGATTGGTCCACTGGTTAGTCCAGTTATCCAATCATATTATCTGAAGCAAAGTCACATAAGTTTTTTGTTGTGCATTGAGGAATTTATTTCTTTAATGTGTTTACACATTGTAGCTTATGCACGTTTTCTTATTGTATAAAAACTTGATCTACCTCAATTAAGTGCATACAGTACGTTTTTATGCACATTTTAAGATTTTATGCACCTCTTAAGGTTTTCATCTAGTATTTTCATGCGGCATCCAAAAATTTGCATAAAACATGGGACGGAAACCACTAATATTGACATTTAAACTCATTTACATTTTTAGAGAAATAAAATTATGTGAATAAATGAGTTCTTAGCAGCACTCCAGCAAGAAATCGATGAAGTCTGAAACATCAGCCATACACTAACCAGTAGTTACTATGACCATAGTGCAGGGGTGTCCAAACTCAGTCCTGGAGGGCCACTGTCCTGCAGAGTTTAGCTCCAACTTGCCTCAACACACCTGCCCGTAAGATTTTGTATGCCTAGTATGACCATGATTAGCTGGTTCAGGTGTGTGTAATTAGAGTTGGAGCTAAACTCTGCTGGATAGTGGCCCTCCAGGAGCAGGATTGGACACCATGGCGTAGTGTGACCTTTACATCCCATTTTAAGTAAGACCATCCAAATGGCTGGTGCAACCCTACCCTGGTCTATACTTATGGATAACTCTGGATCTACCACTAACTATAATGACACTGATGAGGAAATAACTTGTGCAATATTAAGTAAACCAATAATCTTGAGGATGTAAACAACAAAAACGCAGACTTGATGACTACAATTTGGAAGATATACTGAAAAGAGGTAATTTAACAGTACCTTTGTAACTGGGAGCTCCTTGGATTTCGTCTCAAAGAGGTTTTCCAATTTGGCTGTGTCCAGTTTGACCGGATCAAGTTTGGACCACAGTGACTCCCTGCATCTCTTGTGGTTGCTGTACTGCCAGTCTATAGGTCTGACCTCATTCCAAAACAGCCGGATGGTCTTCTTCTTCTTCTGGAAGAGTGGGGGCTCTCCTCGACTAAGCTGAGGAGATCCGAGATGTGGGGGATGTACTGAAGCCAAAAAAGGCGGTGGAGGGGGCATCATCATGCCAGGGATAGGGGGAGGTGGAGGGCATCCAAATAAAGGTGGCGGGGGTGGAAGGCTGGGCAAGCAGGGGGGCGGGGGCGGAGGTGGCGTGAGGTCACTTGACCCGATCACATTACCAACATCCAAAATGTCTACATCATCCTCCTCTCCCAAGTCCGTGAAGTCCAGCTCTTTGATACGTAGCTCCCGTGGTGTGGCCATCAGCTGGTCCCATATGTGGTCTGACTCCTTTTTAGGGGGTGTTGGTGAAGGAGCCGGTTTTCCCTGTGCTCGCTGCTTTTCCTTCCCAGAATGCTCCACCTCATGAGGCGATACCAGTCCTTTCACCAAATCTCCAAATTTCTCAGCCACAGCCCGTACACTACCCTGGTTATCCAGATGCTCCACTTCCAGTTTCTTCATGTTGTCGTCACAAGCTTCCCGTTGCGCCTCCAGAGTGGAGATGCGACAAGCAAGGCTGGTCACAGTGGAATCTTGACCTGAACACTTGTTCTCATTCTCCTTTTCTTTCTCATCTTCTTCTGCCTTCTTGTTTTGAGCATAAAGCATGTCCAGCATGAAGCGTTTGCTGTTAAGAACTTTGTTGCACTGATCGTTCACATCCGCTGTATTCATACAGTCTGCCCACTGGCCTAAGAGTACAAATTCAGAAAAAGTTTCAACAATATGTAACATTTTTAGAGTCCATCTTTACAAAACATGTCTATTTTTATGTTGTAATCTGCCACTGATAAAGGAAAAAACAGAAATGCTGAAACTAGAATGAATTTTCACTGCTAAAAGGATTTAGCTTACAATGAAAATGTGTAGCCACTGTCCAAAACTTTTTGTCACACCTGCCAATGACAAGTAAACTAGGAAACTATATTTTGTTTCATTTTATCGGCCAATGATGGGTAAACTGGGAAAATAGCCTTAAACTGGGAACAAAACTAGCCATAAATATTTCTTTCTGACCATGAAACTGTTGTTTGCATTATTATTATTTTAAAAACAAATATATCATTTGATGCTTGGCAAACCAATGTGAATAAAAACACCAGTTGGCTGGTAAATTTATGAACTGCAACATAATGCATCACTTAAATAAAATTCTAATAACTCTGTCTGTCTGATTCTTGCTGATGCAAGTGATGTGCATGCTTCAAATAAAAGACACGTGTCTACTAAATAAAACATCTGTGACTCTTCTAACTTTTACAACATTGTTTTGACCATCATAGGTTTATCTAGGATGATTTTCTCCCAGAACTCCATTTTCCACATATGTGAAATAATCCTTGCAAAATATCAAGGCACGAAATCAAAAACGAGAGGACAGTCACTATTGTACGGTGCCTGGGAGCTGACATGTTCGGTTCACTTAATTTTGTCGTGGCCACGACATAATAACTCGTGGGAACGTGATA